GCTTCCCGCTTACGGCGACCCTGTTGTCGTCGGCACCAAGCCCGCTCAGCGCTTCGTTCGGTACCACAACGTGCTGCTCAACATCCTCAATGGTTTCGATAACTCTGTCGTCATGGCCGATACTCTGAAGAAGCTCATTGAGGTGCTTCGCGACCCTGAGCTGCCCTACAGCGAGTGGAACGCCCACTTTGCTGCTCTCCATGCTCGCATGCCCCAGAAGCTGGACACCCTGTTTACTCAGATTGTCGAGCGAGGCAGAGCTCGCACTGGCGAATTCCCTGCCAAGGCACTCAGCAAGGCTTTCAGCAAGTTCCTCGAGGAGAATGTGGAAGCCGGTGACGCTGCTCTGCTTAGAACCACGCTGGCACCCCTTACCGAGGTGCTTGACAACTACGCAGAGGGCCAAAAGGTTCGAGAGCTCAACGTCATCAACAACCTTCTTGAGTCCTACTGGGAAGTCGAGAGCCTCTTCCAGAGCCGGTCTCAGGAGGAGAGTGTCATCCTGAATCTCCGAGACCAAAACAAGGAGAACATGGCCAAGGTTGTGCAAATCGTTCTCTCGCACAGCCGCATGAGCTCAAAGAACTCTTTGATCATTGCCATTCTAGAGGAGTACCGCCCCAACAAGCCCAATGTTGGAAACATCAACAAGTACCTGCGTGAGTCGCTGCGAAAGCTGACCGAGCTCTCTTCTCGAGCTACCTCCAAGGTCTCGCTCAAGGCCCGAGAGATTATGATCCAATGCTCTCTGCCGTCCCTTGAGGAGCGTACGTCTCAGATGGAGCATATCCTGCGATCGTCTGTTGTTGATTCTCGCTACGGTGAGAGCGGCTGGGACCACCGGGAGCCTAGCCTTGATGTCATCAAGGAGGTTGTCGATTCCAAGTACACCGTCTTCGATGTGCTGACCTCATTCTTCGCTCACGAGGATCCTTGGGTTTCTCTGGCATCTCTCGAAGTCTACGTTCGTCGTGCTTACCGTGCCTATATGCTCCAGTCGATTGAATATCACAATGACGAGTCGGAGAACCCTCTCTACGTGTCCTGGGACTTCCAGCTGCGAAAGATTGGAAACAACGAGTTTGGCGTTCCTGTTCAGTCTGCTGCTCCTTCTACTCCTGGCACCCCTAGCGGCCTGGAGCTCAACGTTTCGCGTATCAACTCCATCAGCGACATGTCCTACCTCACCAGCAAGGTGAACAATGGCCCGTCCCGCAAGGGTGTCATGGTCCCTGTCAGGTACATTGACGACGCTGAGGAAATGCTTCAGAAGGCTTTGGAGACTTTGAACTTTTACAACAAGCAGAAGAGGCAGACCAGCCAGTCTACTCTTCTTGCTGACTTGAGTGGCAAGCGAAAGCCCTTTGCCGCTCTCAAGAAGGAATTCCAGAGCCGCAACAACGGCGACGAGCTGTCTGCTGTCATTAACGTTGCTGTTCGGGATACTGAGAGCACGGATGACGAAGAGATCCTCTCGCGCATTTTGCCCATTGTCCAGGGTCTCAAGAGCGAGCTTTTGGTCCGTGGTGTCCGTCGCCTGACCTTCATCTGCGGCCGCAGCGATGGTTCTTACCCCGGCTACTACACCTTCCGAGGCCCCGACTACGAGGAGGACGACAGCATTCGTCACAGCGAACCCGCCTTGTCTTTCCAGCTTGAGCTTGCTCGTCTTGCCAACTTCCGCATCAAGCCCATGTTCACTGGAAACGGCAACATTCACGTGTACGAGGCTGTTGGCAAGACTGTCGACTCTGACAAGCGCTACTTCACTCGTGCTGTGATCCGACCCGGCCGTCTCCGTGACGAGATCCCCACTGCTGAGTACCTCATCTCTGAGGCAGACCGAGTCATCAACGACATCTTCGACGCCCTTGAGATTATCGGCAACAACAACTCTGATCTCAACCACATCTTCATGAACTTCACCCCCGTCTTCCAGCTCGACCCTGCTACCGTTGAGCAGTCTCTCCAGGGCTTCTTGGATCGCTTCGGTGCTCGTGCTTGGAGACTGCGTGTTGCCCAGGTGGAAATTCGCATTGTTTGCACGGATCCCCAGACTGGTATCCCTTACCCTCTGCGCGTTACCATCACCAACACCTCTGGTTATGTCGTGGATGTCGATCTGTATGCCGAGCGCAAGTCCGAGAAGGATGACTGGGTCTTCCACAGCATTGGTGGAACCAAGGAGAAGGGACCTCTTCACTTGCTGTCCGTTTCCACTCCTTATGCCACCAAGAACTGGCTCCAGCCCAAACGATACAAGGCTCACTTGATGGGTACCCAGTACGTGTACGACTTCCCCGAGTTGTTCCGCCAGGCCATCCAGAACAGCTGGGCCAAGGCTGTCAAGAAGCAGCCTGCTTTGGCGCCTCAACAGCCCAAGGTTGGTGACTGTATTACATTCACCGAGCTTGTGCTCGACGACAAGGACAACCTTGACGAGGTCAACCGCGAGCCCGGTACCAACACCTGCGGCATGGTGGGATGGATCATCAAGGCTAGAACCCCCGAGTACCCTGCCGGTCGCCGCTTTGTTATTGTCGCCAACGACATCACCTACAACATTGGATCTTTCGGCCCCAAGGAAGACAACTTCTTCTACAAGTGCACTGAGCTGGCTCGCAAACTCGGCATTCCTCGCATCTACCTGTCTGCTAACTCTGGTGCCCGCCTTGGTCTCGCCAACGAGCTGATGCCTCACTTCAAGGTTGCCTGGAACGATGCTACCAAGCACGAGGGCGGATTCCGCTACCTGTACCTGGATGAGAAGACCAAGGATCGCTTCAAGGACACTGTCATCACTGAGGAAGTTGTCGAGGATGGTGAAACACGCCACAAGATTGTCACCATTGTTGGTCAGGAGGATGGCCTTGGTGTCGAATGCTTGAGGGGATCTGGTCTTATTGCCGGTGCCACTAGCCAGGCTTACAACGACATCTTCACTATCCCCTTGGTCACTTGCCGATCAGTTGTTTAGTTTTTTTTTTTTTTTTTTTTTTTTAATTCCTTTTGTTTTCTTTTCCCCTTAGATGAAGTTGATTCCTTATGACTAACAAACTTCTCATAGGTATTGGTGCTTACCTTGTCCGTCTTGGCCAGCGTGCTGTCCAAATTGAAGGCCAGCCCATCATCCTCACTGGTGCTCCTGCTTTGAACAATCTGCTTGGTCGTGAGGTCTACACATCTAACCTTCAGCTTGGTGGCACTCAAATCATGTACCGCAACGGTGTTTCTCACATGACTGCCAACGACGACTTCGAGGGTGTCTCCAAGATTGTTGAATGGATGGCCTTTGTTCCTGAGAAGCGCGGTAACCCCGTCCCGGTCAGCCCCAGTCTCGATGTCTGGGACCGTGATGTCACTTACTACCCTCCCCAGAAGCAGCCTTATGACGTTCGGTGGTTGATTGGTGGTAAGCAGGAGGACGACGGCTCTTTCCAGAGCGGTCTGTTTGACAAGGACTCCTTTGTTGAGGCTCTTGGCGGCTGGGCTCGCACTGTCGTTGTTGGTCGTGCTCGTCTTGGCGGTATCCCCATGGGTGTTATCGCTGTTGAGACCCGCAGTGTTGAGAACATTACGCCTGCCGATCCTGCCAACCCTGATTCTATCGAACAGATTAGCAACGAGGCCGGTGGTGTCTGGTACCCCAACTCTGCATTCAAGACTGCCCAGGCTATCAATGACTTCAACAATGGTGAACAGCTTCCTCTCATGATCTTGGCCAACTGGCGTGGTTTCTCCGGTGGTCAGCGAGACATGTACAACGAGGTGCTCAAGTATGGTTCGTTCATCGTCGATGCCTTGGTCAAGTACGAACAGCCAATCTTTGTGTACATTCCTCCCTTTGGCGAGCTCCGTGGTGGCTCATGGGTCGTTGTTGATCCTACCATCAACCCTAACGCTATGGAGATGTACGCTGATACTGAGGCTCGTGGTGGTGTTCTTGAGCCTGAGGGTATGATTGGTATCAAGTACCGCAAGGACAAGCAGCTGGAGACCATGGCTCGTCTGGATCCTACCTACGGCGAGCTGAAGAAAAAGCTGGAGGACAAGACGCTCTCCAGCGAGGATGCGGAGAAGATCAAGCAGCAGCTTGTGGCTCGCGAGAAGCAGCTTCTGCCCGTCTACTCGCAGATTGCTGTGCAGTTCGCTGATCTGCACGACCGTGCCGGCCGCATGAAGGCCAAGGGTGTCATCCGTGACTCTCTGGACTGGGTCAACGCTCGCCGATACTTCTACTGGCGTCTGCGCAGACGTATCACTGAGGAGTACATCCTCAAGCGCTTGAACACCAGCATTCTGCCTACTCCTCAGCCCAACACTGCCAAGGCTACTGAGGCTCGCGCCAAGGGTCTGAAGCTTCTGGAGAGCTGGTCTGGCATTGCTGGATGGGACAAGAAGGACCAAGAGGTTGCTGAGTGGTACGAGAAGGAGACTCAGGCTATTGCTCAGAAGGTTGAGGCCCTCAAGGCCGACAGACTGGCTGCTGACTTGGCTGAGGCTGTCCGTGGCAACGAGAAGGCTGGCTGGAAGGGCATCCGGGAGCTTCTGCGTGTCATGCCTGTGGAGGAGCGCGAGGCTATCTTTACCTATCTGAAGGAGTAAATGTATAAATAAACATAAATAAGAATAAAGGGAGGAAGGAGATGGGGCGTTTTGATTTAGAAGCATGGGTTATGGTTGATGTCTTATGATAGATACAAATTATATGTTTTTGAGTTTTATTCAAATCATTTTGCTATACAGAAGATTAGTGCTGCGTGAGTGAAAACCATATGTAGTCGTCTTATATTTTTTTTTCTAGCAAAGATCACGTTTTATGCCAGATTCTCGAGTCCTTGGATACTTTGTATTGATGTTAACTGTTAAATTACCTATACAGACAATCTTGGCTTGGGTTTACAAAGGGTACTGCATTTCTCCTCTATCATTCAATTAATTAGATCCATTGGCAGACACAGAGAAACACATGGTTACAATTTACTGTAGCAACATACTCAGCGTCGTATAATCCATATTATTACAGAATAGAGATGCTTATTCCAAGGCGGTACAATAGACAACTATTCGAATACATTCGCCTGCCTATGGGCTCCCAATACCCATCCAATCCTCTTGCTATTTATACAATTGGCTATATTCTAAGCCTTTAAGCTCCCTTTCATATTTCTCTCCATTTTTGATTTGTTTATTTATTTCTTTTTTTCTATTTCCAGCTCCCTCAAGCATCCTCAGGAGGCACCCTCGTCCGTATCTGCACTCCATGCCACTGCTTGACGAGGTCCCCCAGCGCGCTGTTGACCAGACGCTGCTGCTTGAGCATATTGAGCCCCTTGAACGCAGACGACGTGATGTCAATGGCGTACATGCTGCCGCAGCCGCCGGAGATGTCCTGTACGAGGAGCGACGTGGGGTTGAGCTTGGAGGCGAGGATGGCGGCGATGGACGACTCGGCGGGGGTCATGCCCGTGTCTTCGTCTGCTTCTTGCGGCTGTTGCTGGCTGGAAGAGGGGGAGGAGGAGAATTGGCGCGAGGGAGTTGAGGAGAGGTAGCGGATGCTGCTGCTGCGCTGGGGAGAGGCTTTGGCGGCGGCGGCGGGTTTGAAAGAGCTTGTGATGATGGGCGCAATGGAGGGGCGCGCTGGGAGGGAGGTGAGGAGGCGCAGGCGCAGCGCGGAGCGGCAAGATGAGCAGATCATGTTTGAGAATGTCGATTGTTCTTTTGAATTTACTGCTGCTGGAGATGGCAGATATTAGATGGTTAGGTCGAGGTGAAAAAAAAAAAGTTGATTGCAATTATTCAGCGGCCATTGGAGGAGGATTGCCGAAGCTTGTTGGTAGCGTTGGCGATGGGCCGAGAGCCGGAGCTTTGCCGGCGGTGGCCGAGCTAGGTAATTGCCGTATTAAGCAAGTATTGATCAAAGAGCCAGGTATACAGATAGTGTATAGTGGACTATGATAATATTGCTGTAGCCGTAGAGAATGATGCAAATGCATGTATTTATGATTCAGGGGGGTTGCCTGAAAGATGCGAAGCTTGGTGAATGGGCTCCTGGTTATAAGTGTAAGCCCCTCTTGAGGCTGCTAGAGGAGTTGATACTATTTAAGCTTGTCACTGTTATAGATAATGCAGCTTTGCTCCTTGGTGTATACTTCGTATTAGACATTAAGTATGAAGAATCAATCAAATACAATGCTAGCTTGACTTCAGCTTTCCCTTTCCCTTCCCCAATTTCCGCTATAATATGCAAAACATGTATGCTCAAGTAGAAATACAGCAACGAACGCTGTATAATGCATCAGCAAAAACCCTTCCTTTGCCTTGATCGATATTTCCTAATCTTTCCAATTTCCAATCACCTCACAATCCATAATCCGCCGTTCCCATAAGCCTTATCCTGCATCAAGCCCACATCCGATCTCATCCCCACCCGATGCAAAGGAATCTTATCCACTTGCCTCACCACCTTCCCCGTCGTATCGTCCATTTTCTCCGCAAAGGTTCGGTTAGACTTGACAGTCTTCAGCATCGACATCGTATCGTGAGGTCCCCAAGCTATGCGGCTTAGACTGGCCAGCGTTTTATCGACATCCTTGAAATGTTGGTCGACGAGGAGTTCTAGCGGTGTGTTGTGATGGGCAGCAGCGTGGAGGTAGCCCATGAGGAGGACTTTGACTTTGGCGCCGACTAAATTTGCGCCTTGGAAGTCATGGATGATGTGGACTGTGATGCTGTTCTCCATGGCGACGGAAGGGGGGGAGTGGCGGGATGGTGCTATGCTGACGATGGCTTCGAACCAATCTGTAGGAATCGCATCTCCTGGAGCCTTCCCATTGTTGGTATTGTTTGGGGGAATGTGTATGCATGCCCAGGCAGCAAACACGCCCGGCATACGAAGTCTGATCTGATCTGACACACCGCTTAGATTCGCTGACGGTATACCAAGATCAGAATATGATCTCCCTGTTCCAGGAACCACCTTTCCGTCGAACTTGACTGGAAACGGTGCTTCGGGGCCAGCCTCGGAACCGATGATTGGTACGTTTTCCACAAGAGAATCATACCTTTCCTGCTGATCCCTTTGCCGCTGCCAACTCTCTTGCACCGTGTCGCCCATGCCAGTCACCTGGTAGCTCTGATAGGCCATCGTGCCAGCCTTCTTGATTGTCTGATTAGTCACGATGTTGCTCACTTGGCTGTTCACCACCGTGCTCGCCACGCCGATATACCTGTTGGCCATGGCCTGGCCAATCGTGCTGGCGACCTTGACGCCCATTTCCAGCGGCATGGTGCTTAGGCTGGCGCCTCTCATGACGCTCACATCCGTCGACGTGCTCGCCACACGGAAGACGGGGCTGCCGCAGAGGATTTTCTTGCCTGGTTCGGCTCCCGCGCAGAGAACGAGGCGGAAGTAGCCGTCAGAAGCAGTGGCGGGAATGCGGACGACGTGAGTCTCGCGTGGGATATGTTTCTTTTGCTTGCTTGACGCCTTTTTGACGAACCGCTTAAAGTCTCGCTGGATGATTCGTTCGTCTGCCTCCGGGGTGTCACTCACGGCCGTTTGACGCGCGGGAGTGACGTTGATCCATGAAGCCGTCGTTCCGGCGAATGCCTTGATGGCCATGCCCATGTTTCCGGAGAAGCCTTTTTGCTGCATCCATAGAGTCCGTGTGGGCGGCAGCGGCTCGTCTGATAGCACCGAGATGGAGACAGAGGTGGAAGGGCCAGCGTACCATATCAAAGCACTGGTATGGCGGATGATGGAGTAGTGCCGCGTAGACTCGCAAGGATGGGCGATGATGCCAGAGGCAAAGTATTGAGCGTTGCCAATGGCTGACTGCCAGAATGAATCTTGCTGCTTCGTGTCCGTGCCTACATCTACGGGCAGAGTGACGGCATGCTGCGGACGCGGCGGAATGTCAGGCGATGATGAGCTTCCAATAGAGAGCGCTGAAGAGCTCTGGGAATGGCGGAGAGGCAGTGCCGGCGCCGAAGGGACTGAGAGACCTGGATAGGGAGGCGGAGGAGGCAAATCATCCTCGGGTGCTGTGATGCTGATTTGGGCAGAGAAGGCTTCGGTGCTGATCTCCTGATAACTAATGGCGGTGGCGGGCCGGGTCGCTGATAGATGAGCAGCCGCTGGCTTTTGTGCGAGGCTGGCAGCCGATTTACTGGGCTTCAGTTGCTGGATCCCTGCTGTCTGAGAGGGTGCAATGGACTGCGACGGCAATGGTTCATCCCTATACATGTCATAGATGTCGGCCTGATGGTTGTATTCGGGCGCTCCTGGGACGGGCCGCCGCCGTATAACCGGGACAGGCTTACGCGCGAGTCCGGTTCCCTCCATTATGGAAGCAGTAAAATGTGCATAGAGGAAATATCAAAGGAAACTAATTATCGGCCCTGGCTACTGCACAAAGTGATGCAGAGGGCGAAAGCATCGCATCTTATTTCGCCATTGGGCATTGGCCTGGATGGTGTCAGTGTTGCAGCTTATACTGCAAGTAATGGCTCTTTCGGAGAACTGGGGCCCATCAAAGGGGGTCCTCTTTGAGGTCCCGGACAAAAGCTGGACTTTGCCCGGCAAAGCTCAGCTGGGTCTGGAGCTGTTGGAGGCCCGCTGGCTAAATTTGCACAGTGCTATCGTGAGCTGGAGCTTGCTAAGATGGAGGGCTGGGCGACTCGTATTGGTACGCGTCAGCGCAATTCGCACAGGAGCTGTGATTGGCACTTGGAGCAATCTCGTGTTTATTAGCGTGTGCAAGGAGCGAGATTGATATCATTCTTCTATCATTTCGTTTGTTCTTTTTTTAAGCTATTTTACAGTCTTTTGTTTTAACTATTTGGCTTTGCTGCATCTAGCTAGATGCCATGAGGGCCTCCAACTGGCCGGGCTCTTTGATGGCAGTGGTGAGGTTCTCATAGCCGGTCTCCGTGACGAGGATGTTGTCCTCGATACTGCATCGGGTTAGAATTGGAATTAGAGTTGTAACAAAGGATAACAAGAAGAGAGATTCGTTTGCTTACCGAACACCGCCTACATCCCAGTACTTGGCGAGCACGGAAGAGTCGATATACTTGCTCTGCTCGGGGTTCTCCAAGTAGGGGTCGATGATGAATTTGCAAAAGTAGACCTGTGCTCGTGTGTAAGATTCAAAACTCCATGCTCTATTTGCACGCATCATGGATCATCAAGGAGTAGGAACTTACACCGGGCTCAACGGTAACAACTCCGCCGGCGGGAACCTGGCCTCGCAGACGCAGGTTCTGGAAGATGACATCGGGGTCCTGGCGGTTGTGGTTGCCGCCAGTGTCGTGGGTGTCCATGCCAAGGTAGTGGCCCAGGCCGTGGGGGAAGAAAGCCTGGCTGATTCTGGCGTTGAAGATCTCGTCCTTGTCGCCCTTGAGGATGCCCAGAGCTAGCAGGCCGTCAATGGCGATCTTGTGGGCCAAGATGTGGGCGTCTTCCCAGTGCATGCCAGCCTTGATAACCGCAATACACTCCTGCTGCATCTTGTAGACAATGTCGTAGATCTCGCGGGCCTCCTTGGTGAACTTGCCGTTGAGGGGGAAGGTTCTGGTCTGTTATTGCATAACCGGTCAGCAACGACTTCGATTAGCCGATTCGATGGAAGCAGTAAAGAAGCTACTTACGATATCAGCGGCATAGTTATCCCACTCAGCACCAGCATCAATCAGCAGGAGCTGCTTTCCTGCCAGCGGAGCGTCGTTGGGAACGTAGTGCAGAGTCGCCGCAGCAGTGCCGCCGGCCACAATGGGATGGTACGCCATGTTCTTGGCGCCGTTGGCCACGCATCGCTCCAGAAACACGGCCTCGAGTTCCCTCTCGTTGGACGCCTTCTTCGCCTTCTCGACGACAGCCTTGTGCGCCAGGCTGGAGACGCTGTTGGCCTTGCGGATCATGGCCACCTCGAACTCATCCTTGACGACACGGGAGACCTCGATGGCGGGCTTGAGGAGCTCGAAATCCTTGTTCTCAAAGCCGATGAAGGTGATGTGGTCTGACACCTGGTCCTTGATGGCGTAGATTGTCGAGTTGGAGTTTGTGCCCGCGAGGTGGGCAAGTGTGGCATTGACCTCGGTGGTGAGCTTCACCTCGTCCACGTCGTATAGCTTGAGGGCGTCGTCGATGGTCGTGGGCAGGCCGGACCAGATGACATCATGAGGGTCGATCGGGGGGATGAAGAGAGTGGACTTGGAGGATTGGATGTCGTAGGTAAAGAAGCAGTCGGCGAGATTGCAGCCGGTAAGGTAGTAGAAGAAGCGGCGCTGTCTGCAAGAGTGCGCTCGGTTAGTAGCTTGCATATGCATCGATCGCTATAACAACTGTAAAATCTCTGCGCATAGATGCAGAGTATTGGTTCGAAGAACTGAAGCATACCGGAAGGGTTCGGGAGAGTCGTTGTCCTCGAGGAGCTTCGTGTGGCGGCCCTCGAGATAGAGAACGCCGTTGGCGTTGGGGTCTTTCTTGCGGATGAGGTCGACAACGCGGCGGGCGTGCGACTTGCCAGGGTATTTGCCCTTGAGCACAGCTTCGAAGTCTTCGGCAACCATCTTTGCTGAGCTTCTGCGCGACGAGGAGGAGAAGCAGTGATGGAAAGATACGGCAGAGAAGGAGGAGGAGGGAAAAGAATGTAGAGGAGCAAAAGCCGTCCGAGGCTGGAGTCGGATTTGGAGCTGGCGATGATGATTATGGTGGGGGAGGCACACGCCGACGCGGGGCTTTCTGGGTCCTTGCAACGGCAGCAGAGTTCGCCGACGGAGAGGTCGCAGCATGGGCTCTTGGCTCTCTGGAGTCCTGTATCTCTCAGGTATTCTAGCGGGACAGAGTGGATGTTGCTGTCTGCAGAGGCCGCTCAACGTGTGGTTCAAGGCCCGGGAGGTTTTGATTTTCTCCGAGCGGGTTTGCAACTACTCCATCAACAAGATGGCCGCATTGCTGTATCTCGGGGGACTTTTTGTGCGCTAAAAGACAGAGGATGGATGGAGCCCATTCCTACGGCCGAGGTCGGCAAGTATCGACATGTATGTACTGTACATCCATAGCAGCAGCAGATACAAGCTGCCTTTGTCTAAGAGACGGAGTTGCTGAACTCGACTACCAGATGATAATCCGGTGTATAGATAGAAGGCTGTTTACATGAATGCTGCTTCAGCTGCCAAGGCGAGGCCATAACAGACAGTACATAGAGCAAAACTACAGCGCCTCACAGGGTCCCAAAGAGCCCAAGAGCTTGAACCCTTCAACTGCTAGAGCCCGGTCTGGTGGCCCCAAGCTAGGAGGAACTCCGCTCACTGGAAATGGATAAACTGTCTCCACAGCGGCTGTCAGCGGCTCTCGTATTGGGGTCACAAAAGTAAATCTTCACTTACACACATCGGCTGTATCAAGAGGGCGGGAAGCGTCTGGACTCGGTTTGTACCTCTGTAATTCTAACCTATCCACCATCTCATAAGGCTGTGTCTGTGTCTAAGCCATAACCTGACCTGGATGCTCGCCAGGAGCTGCTAGGCTAGGCACTTACAGGGTTATTGTCTATTACCAGCAATATGTACTTTGCTCATTTCTCGTCTTTGATTCCTGCCAAGGTTACGCCACCTTGGAGTGTTCCTAATTCAGCGCAGAGACAACAAAAGCATGTAACGAGTACTGGCTCTCGAGGGCGCATCTTGCCCGCCACCCCCTCCCTTGCATTCACGTCTGCAGAGCTTCAGCTACAGTTACAGCGCTTCAGCTCGAATTGAAAAGGGAGAGGGCCATGGGCGTCAAGGGCGTGGAGTAGCAAACGAAAATGTATTGTATACATGTCAGTTTTGTCGTTCAATTTTTGTTTCTCTTCGCTTTGATAAGTTTCAGCCTAGTGTAACCTCAGCTGCTCCGGCAGCGATCCGGATATGCAGCAAGCACCAGTTGCCCCTCCACGGGCCCAAGCACCTCTTCAGCTCCTCTAGCCGTTCTCTGTCTCTCTCTCCCTTTCCCGAGGACAATCACTGCGATACCTTTGCAGTAGCTTGGTTGCGTTGGTTAGATAACCTCAACGTCTCTGGGCTCATCCATCCACTGAATCTCTGAGAGTGTTTCTACTCTCCCATAAATGGATCAAAATAGGCACTAGTAGGTGCCGCAAAATGAGTATCTCCGTACAATCGAGCCTTATGAGCGGTACCGCAGGTAGGGATATCACCTCTCCTGTGCGTTATGAGCATTTGTGTGTCGGCCATTTGCCCGGTCCCAATTTCGTAATGTTGTTAGCCTACTACCAAACGATAACAACTGTAAGTCTAGCTACCAAACTCGTAGTTGCTCTCAGACCGCAGCGTATCAAATGATAGGTAGATACTTTGTGCGCCTCTCGTCAAGTACAGAGGCCCATGGCTATGATCTACTAATATTCAGCTCAGCTCTACGACGCCCACGAGAGAGCCGTAATACACTGTTATCAGTTCCTGACCACCCACATCCTCCGCCGGAGCATAGTGGCCGGGGGGGCTCGCTTAGATCCTTGTGTCACAGCAACTCTCTTGCGTGTCAGATAGTGTCATGTCCAAGCCAGCCTCACCGCGAAAGCAAAATTGAGAAGGGCCAAGACAAATTTCATCTTGCTGAGCCCTTTTTTCCTTTCCTTTTCTTTTTTTTTTTTTTTTTTGCGTTGAGGCTTCTGGCCAGCCAGTGGCCCTTGGGCCCTGCCTTGTTAATGGCTGATCCTCTCACCGAAACCTCTTGTAATAGAGCAGGTTTACGAAGGGGGCGTGCGTGCAATCCGCGGAACTACGGCTCGATGATGAGAGACAAACTTCAATAGTGCCAAATCTAAGTACATTGGCAGATCCAAAACAAGTTGATCCCCCTGCGTTCGTCATATCGGCTCTGAATAGCCGTGGGCAGCCGCTTAAGGCCATCGTAGACTGCCATCACGTAGTTATCACTCGAGACAAAGCGCCAAAAGCATGACAAGACATCAATAGGTAGCCAAGAATGTGTCTCAGTGCCTCAGCTGACGCAAACACATCGGATATCTCTCTGATTCGGAGATGCCCGAGTGATCTGCGTCTTAGATGTCAAATGTTCCCAATTCTAAGCGAGCAACTTTCTCTCAGCTAACTACCAGACACAACCCATAGACGGCTAATTAACAATTCGTGTAGACAAATATATCGCATGTGACAGGACAAAAATAGTATCGGAACCAGCATTTGCCGCGCCTCTAACAAATCCTTGGGCCGATCAGTCCTGTCAAACCAAGTGGGCGGCGGGAATTAGTGTGACGCTCGAATCCTTTAACTCACCTAACAGGAGAAGTATAGCCAATTCCAATGAGAGACTAGTAGAGGAAGGTGAGTGTGTTGTCAAATAGATATTGGCAGATACGCCTAAAAGCCGAAAGCTGAGTCCGTGTAGTGAGCCCATCCATCGTTTCGGGCCATTGGCTTTTTATTCCTTGTCTTTATGGAAGTTGTTGGCTCACTAGCCACGAAAATATACTGCTTGAAGACTTGGTGCTCTTCGCCCCTATTTTGGGCGGTCATATTGCCCGTTTATGGCGTCACTGGTTACAAATATATCTAGGCACTTCAATACTACTGTTGTATCTTGACAAGGAGCTATGAATACGAGTACGAGTGGGAGAGCAAAAAAATAGAGATGAAACCTTGTGAGATCAAATTGACACTAGCCACATCGCTTGGAACCTTGAACACCTCTCACTAGTCATATCTTATTGCCTCCTCTGGCCAGATCTTTGAGTAACCATACAAGGGCATCGCTTAGTCAATGTCGTATAAGCACAGTGATTGACGAGAAGACCATTACCAGGTACCCGGTAGAGAGAGCCAATTGGAAGACAAGCCAACAGCCTATCCTAGATTATGGATGGCAAACAGTACAGACTGTTACACAAAACACGAGCTTACAAGGTTTCTTGCATAAACTTCTGTAGGTAAATATAATAGCAGATCTCGTTGGTAGCCAATCAATACGGCGGTAGATGGTATTGGTGTATCCATCCAGGTCTTCTTAAAATGAGGCGAGCTATCTTACCATGGAGTTCCGCAGCGGAGTCACATGAATATCAACGCAACGCCGAACGGAGGGGAAAAAAAAGGTAAGCAAATTACATGAAAATAATATGTGGCTTTGTTCACTTCGTTATCTTGCCTGTTATCCTGTAGTAACATATTTTCGGCTATGTATACCATACAAGTGTTCTGACTACTACTATCCAACTACACGACAGGAGAACAGACTACACATAAAAGTGTCACTGCTGGGCCAGTTTTTACTGGGAGTTTATTTTATTTTACTGTTTGCTACCCCATCTCCCACCTACACAATACTCAGTACCGTAGTCATTACACATCTTCGTCACATTTCTCCTCTGGCTGTAAATAGGCTTCCGCGTTTTATATCAAGTCGTCTCTCATTTTAAGATCATACGGCCGGATATTCGGCGCCACACCGGCCTCAGCCTTCCTTGCTTGGTAATACTATTACATCACTGGCCTAAGATACTCTGCAAAGGCCTGTTACTTAATGTAGGGCTGGGTTGGGAAGCCGGGGAGATGCGGAGGGGGGTAGGATTTGAGCACAGATCTAGCATGTAACCCTTCACCTCTGGACGAGGTTAGCCGCTGTTGGTAAGTCAGCTTCCTTGACGCCTCTACCGTACAAACGCTAGTCGAAGCAGCCTGATCTGAGACCTACGCTTAAAAAAAAAAGATCAAGATCGCTCTAGCCATAAAGGTTGTCATTTTGTTTGCACCCCTTCCCCTGTCCCGAAAATCCGGATAGCTTTCAGCCTCATCTTGGCACGGGACACGCAGTGATCTTCCAACCGGGCTAATGTCTTCATGAACTGTTGGCGTTGGCTGCCAAAATTACATTAGAAAAAATGAACATTCGCTTTAAGACTTTAAAGGGAGCTATACTAAAACAAGAAATAAGGGGAAAAAAAAGTCCTAAAGAAAAAGAGAGAAGACGTGCGCCAAGGCCACAACGTCAGGGAGAGAGAGATGTGAGGGGAAATTGCCCACCACTACCACCTTTGTACCTAGCAAACATACCTGACGTACGAGTCCTTGGGCAGACTATTCGGTTTAAGACAAGCCTCACAAGAGCTGTCCAATCGTTCATACAGCATCACGAAATCCCCCCCCTGCATGTCCGCTCTACGACCCTCTAAGCTAGATCAGTCCATGATCACCTGGAGAGACTTGACTTCGAATCCTCTCAGGCCTAATGCTATTTGTACCCAGTATAAATCTGCGTATAGCATAGACGGCTTACGCAAAGTTCTATCATTAAACCTGTCTATAGCCTATGCTACACACCTAGGTATACCCCTGAAGTTCAGGGGTCCAGAGTCTTCCTATTTGCACAGTCATGGTTCTTACTTGAGCATTAATTATTTATGCTCATAATTAGGTGTGTCTACAGGATATTAGAGGTGTATCTTTAAAGAAATTGATGTGTGCATGGGCTATCACAGCTCAAAAATAAGAACTACAGCCGTGCAAACTGGAAAGTCGCAAAGAATATGGGTCCATGTCTGACTTATCTTCCTCTGATTATATACACACTTTGACCACTTGGTATAGGCGATGTAAGTTCCCTCTCGTCTATATAACGCGGCCATCTCGCTCTCAATTTCCAACACAAAGACCTCAGATTCTCACACAACCCAGACTCCCAAGCACATCCTCGTAGATCAATCTCAAACTCTCAAAGCCAAAACAGCTGTTCTACTATTCAATACTATCTTCTGCTCAAGACTTCCCGCAAACTTCTTCAATATGGCCTCCGCATATACTATGAGCTTTTCTCCCCCGATGCAGATCACAACCAAACCAAGCAGTCCTATCAAAAGCGGTGCAAACATCAAGATTACCGCAAAGCTGGCTGTCGCTGACCCAGCTGGGAGTTACATGGCGCATGCAGACGCTCTGGACGCGAGCGGTCAAGAGGTTAAAGGCATCCTTAGAGGACAACTAGCTGCCTCATGGGCTCCAATGAACGGTGGCAATGCAGCCGAGATCATTGAGTTCAAATTTGACCGAATGAACATATCTGAACCCGGCTCGTACCAGATCCGTATTCAGGCCTACAAGCAAGTCACTGGTGGCATCAATCAACTCACCAAAACTACGATCCCGGTCGAAGTAACTAATTAGCTTCAGCATTAAGTAAGTTCAAACTCACAGCAGTATCTTTTTCCACATCCCTCCTTCTTAAGGAGGTTGCATTGGACGGGCTAACTCCTATTTTCCACACTATAGTATCATCGCTGAAATCAGATTAAGCTGATTTGGAACTATTATGCATGGATATGGGCGTATAAATGGGCAAGGTGGAGTCTCTACTATGTAACTGAGGAAGCTTCTTTATACCTCTCAGAAGACTTGGGCTCCAATGGAGAAAAATGGACGGGATGGACAAGGGATTTTACTTAGCGATCGCATGTCAGTTTATGCTCTTGGGAATCATGGATAGTTATCCGTGGATAGTTTTAGATAGCCTTAGATAGTTTTCAGAACGTCATATTTTCCATTGTTTCTAAACACTGTGGCTTATGCGTTATCGATGGTGATGTGTGATCCCGAGCAGCTACGTAGTTACCGTACCCCTGCTTCATTGGGGCATGGTTACCTCGGCTTTCACGTCTTTAGATCATAAAGATCGGATAGCTCCCGTAAATTGGGGAAATACGCCGCACAAATTTCCCCACTACCGGCGGATCTAAGGCTCGGATCGACAGTTTCCGAGCAAAAGGCTAGCCAAAACATAGTAGTAAGATTCTTATATGCAAACACCCTAATCCTTCACAGCCAGCTAAGCGAAAATAGAGATTGACAGTCAGATAGTCAAAACAATACAAGTATACCCAAAAATACCTTAACGGTTTCAAGTAAATTGGAGCGAAAAGAAGCAGAGAGAAAGAGAGAGTAATACTTGTACGCGCCTCGTCAAGAAACTAGCACGTTTAGAGATACGATGGCCACCAAGGAATCCAATAGTGCATAAAGATACAAATGTTTGCTGTCAGGTAGAGGGTGAGTGTCTCTTGGGAAGTTTCAAGACATATCCAGCCAAGGCATCTAGTGGGTTGATGGGGCTGATCCTAGAGGGGCGTGATTCACGAGACCGGGACAAAAAGTAACGAAACGAAACGTACCATAGTATATAGAGTGGAGTGGAAAGAGGTGCCACAGATTCAAATTCCGCCGAAGAAATGGAGGACGGCGAGGGCGGAAGCGCAAGAAAGTGTCGGGAGGATTGTGGCTTGTCTTAGATGAAGGCTGAGGAGGCATTAGGAAAATGGACGGAGTTGACGATAGATATTACTCCCCTCATAAAAAGTTGGAACCAGAAAACGGTGGAGAGTGCTGAAAGGACAAATACCGCCATAGTCTCCGTTTGTATGTTCTCTACTGGATTTCCTCGCAGCCTTCGTCTCTGCCCGTATAAGTAAACAGTGAACCAATATCATCCAAAGATACTCACTTACGCTGGCTGTAAAACTTGCTCGTTTTAGTATCTGGCAAATATAGCCGTTATTACCACCTATTTGATTACTTCTTTTATTCATGTAGTTTCATTATACAAAATACACTCGAGTGGCTTGCGTCAAAATTAGATGGGCAAAGTAGGTAGTCTAATAAGTAGGCACATACATAAGTACGAGCTTTGTTGACAGGGGGTGGTAACACCGGACATGGGGCTTTGCCTTGGATCTCTCTTTGTTTTTTTCCGAAAATCTTCGGCATTTACTAACCGCACGGCCAACAATACTTCGTACACCCTTTTGACAGCGTTGAGAGGAGAGGGCGTGGTGAAGGGGAGGAGGTGAGCACAGAGGCTTTATCAGTGACGTTTTTTCCTGTTCTTTTTATCTTTCCTCTTTCTCTTTTGGTGCTTTATATGAGCAGCCCAGAATGAGCAGCCCAGAATGATCAGCATGGATAATGAAGCGTCCGTCAGGTGGCTGACTAGAAGCCCGTCGAAGCTGGTTTACATAGTATCGCAAGCCGTACTTTATGAGAGTACCTAGATGTAAGGGAGATTTGTTGGTAGACGTCTGACGATGGAGCGTTTACAATACAGTGCCAGCAGTGGAAGAAACACGAAACTTGAAGAATCTAGACATAGAAAATCGTAACTATATGCACACACGAAACGCAGCACTTGTCTCACGAAAATTGTATCTTTCCCGTTTTATTTTGAACATCCATTTGCGCTTCTTTCCTGTATTCTAGCTTCAATATTCCTCAAGTAGTACTAAGAAGCTTCATAGCCTAATAAACACTAAACAGACACGAGGCAGCGCCTCGGCGGTGTGGATCACGTGTCTCAGCTGGGGCCCACACTTTCGCAGCCTCTTTCTGGCCTGGTCGGTCCTGAGATGAGCTTTTGAGAGGAGCTTGTGGGAAGAAGGAAAGCCTCGGACGACAGCAGCTGAAGGTGGCGCTGGGAAAGACTAGCAGCCTGACATTTCCTGAGACAACAGCCGGCGAGACAAAAGGGAGAGGAGTGAAAGGAAACCGGGAGAAAAAAAATGGTGTATTATTTCACGTCCAATGTGGTTGAGCCGGCCGGCTTCATCTACGTGGGCAAGGATAAGTTTGAGAGTGAGTTTGCTCGTGCATCCACTCTCTCACCGAAGGGCTGAGGACTTGTCTAATGTTTGCACACTTCTACTAGATGAGGACCTGATCAAGTATGGCTGGGAGGAAGATGTCTGGTATGAGGACTCCCCCCGAACTTGATGCTCCTTTCGTTCACAGCTGACTGTTCCCATCTCTAGGGTATGAGACGAAGACTTCCGGCTTCAATTAGCTAAGGCCTCGTTGATGAATATTGACAAAGATTCTGCTAGTTCCACGTCGACAAGCTTTCCAGCGCCCACATTTACCTTCGCATGCAGCCTGGCCAATCATGGGATGACTTGCCCAAGGAGCTGGTCATGGACCTAGCACAACTCACAAAGGCAAACTCAATAGAAGGTTCACTTCCTCTCATCTCTATCCTCCATCCAATCATATCATATACCTCTAACACAGCTTGGTTCTCTAGGAAATAAAAAAGATAATATTACCGTCATCTACACCCCCTGGTCCAATCTCAAAAAGGATGGAAGCATGGACGTCGGCCAAGTCAGCTTCCATGATCAAAGAAAAGCAAGCGTCTTTCCCTCTCTTCTCTCCCTTCCGCAAAGCAAACCGGAGAACATGGCGTTAGATAATCTAACCGCAAAGTTGCTCAAACAGGTCAAGCGCATCCTCGTTCCCAATCGCGAGAACCCCATCGTCAACCGCCTTAACAAGACCAAGGTGGAGAAGAAGCCCGATCTAAAGGCCGAAAAGGATGAAATGCTCAAGCAGCTACGAGCCAAGGAACAGGCAGCCCTGCAAATCAAGGTACGCGCGTCCACGTTCCAAAAGCTGCTGCCTTGATAGGCTGCAGCTTCGGGCCCATGACCATTCGGCTGACTGATGGCCGATGACAGAGAAAAGAAGAACAGCGACAGGCTCAGGAGTGGAAAGAGAAGAAGTGGCAGAAAGATCACGCGTATGATGAGCTATTTACTGAAGAGAACATGGCCGCGTCGAGTAATCAAGACCGGTCGGCGGATTGGGAAGACGATTTCATGTAAATCATTTGGCGACATTCACGTGAACCCATCTTAATAGCTTTTATAAAAAAAATCCCAAAATATCATTGCCTAGCTGTTAACCTGTTCATACAAAAGTAGGGTATTGCAAAAGAAGAAGAAAAAAAACATAGTACTACTAAAAACTTGTAATCCAAATTAAAAGAAGCATGTTCTTCAAAAGAAGACATAGTTGTATCCCATCAATTCCGTCCCATACCCAGCACCCAATGCTCTGTATTAGCTTTTACACGTTTACGTCAATCCTCCGATTGCCAATCTTTATACTGTCCATCTTCCTTGTGATACTTTGCAGCTCAGGCGGAACTTCTAGTCTAATCGGACTTGATGAGGCAGCCGGCGATGCAATTCTCTTTGGGCTCGATGGCTGGCCGACAAGGGCCGGAGGCATATCATACTCTTCATCTTCTTCATCCTCTTCGTCAAACGCATGCTCTCGGTCATCTTCCTCTCGCTGCAGACTACCATGTTTTTCGGGGACGTTGAGCATTACAACAGGCTCGCCGCCTGGCAGTCGCACCTCCGATGCTTCAAGAGTTTGTGCAATATCGAGGAGCAAGACATCCATAGGGCAAATGTAAGCCACACGCTTGCGCTGACTCCAGGCCAATACATGCCCACAGAGCTGTCCGTGCTGCCGATCGACAATCCAGGCACCGCTGTCTCCTGGTATTCCTAGAGGATAGGATGGCCTCGCCCCTTGTCCTGCGGTTGGAGATAAAGTGCTGGCGATTTGGTATGTATGGCTCGGGGACTGACGTCCGTAAATCTTGACGCTTGTCAAGGCTGGTAAGATTTGACCAGTCTGTGAGCCGCTAGTTCGTGCAACGCATTGCACCTCAAGGCCAGGAAGAGATGACCATGGCGCCACCGTGGTTGGTCGAAGCACCGGCTGATTGTTCTGGGTATTCTTTCCAAGTGTGCGGGACCTTTGGTTTCCATCATCCGATATTTTGGGGATAGAATTGTCATCAGGCAAACGTCCATCAGCGAATTCGAAAAGGGCCCAGTCAACTTCATGAATCAGTCCATTAGCTTCCTTGCGGCGAATACCGCTGGAAGCATACACTTCACCAAGGCTAAAAGTATCAAGATGGTCTTCATCTTCGGTCTCCGCATAAGGATAAAAGCCTTCTTCCACGTCATCTAGTGCAGGCTGAGTGACGATATAGCCATCACCACACCCCGGCTCTATGCCTGGGATATCACCAGGTTCACTATACTCTTCGTCTTCCTCATCTTCTTCTTCATCGTAGTTGCTAGTAATGTCTGTTTCAGAATAGGGCTCTGATTCTGTGTCGGACAGTTCGTAAGAGTAATCATCGCTATCGAAGCTATTAAATGTCGACTCAGGCTGCCACTCGCGCCCTGGAATAGCGCTACTACGCGTGGTATCGAGAAATCCAAAATCGCGTTCTGGATCGTCGAGCATGTGGTGCACAGTCATGCCATACGTCTTTTCATCAACAATGACAAGACCACCAAAGCTCACCGGAGGCAAGTGCCGGTCTCCTATCCAAGCTCCAATGCTTGCGCCATTATTGGGCCTCTCCTGGTATTCGGGATTGACGGCCTCAACAGGGTCGTCATCGCCATCATGACCAGATGGATTTCCACTAGATCTACTTCCTCGCGCCATAGATCTCATGATTGATCCTTGTCGTCGTGATCTGATGACACTACCACGGCATACTTTGAGACCAAAGCCTGTGGAATCGTCAAACAGCTCACCCAGCTTCTTCTTCAGGATGGCACGGACTTTGCCAACAGATGTGCAGACCACTAACACAGTAGGCCTGGTCTGGTGAGGGCTGGGCCCTACGGATTCGAGAGATATCTCAACGGACTCGGGGTGCTTGCGATAGAAGGATTTTAGGGCGATGTTGATCTGAGGCATGAGAATAGAATTCCATTTGTCCACAACATCTGGAGGTAGTGGTACATGAGGATATAGTCTGACCTTCGTTTCCGGTTTGCTTTCCTTTATTTCGGGCTCTATTCTATTATTAGACATTGTCTCTTATCAATGATTTAAGTGGAGCAGGCAGTCACGTACCATGGGCCTCAATGCTTTTATTTTGGGTGTATGTTGGCACTGGCGGCGGAGGAGGTTTCTTAGTTGGGAGAGCAGGGCCTGGTATTGCTTTTTTATCTTTGGAGTCTTTCGAGGGCCCTACTGTGGGTAATGGAGCAGCTTCCATAGGGGATGGCTCATGACCCAGCCTTTCCTCGAATCCACTGACACCGTCTAGAATGCAACAGGCCTCTAAGAATCGCGTAACACGCATCTGCACACCAGAGAGCAGAGATTCGCCCTTAGCCTCACCAGAAAGCTCATTGTCGACAACTTTCCAGCAGGCTTGGACAGCTTTCATATACAGTGTACCACATCTAATGGCCAGTGTATCCAAAGCAGTTTCTGGAACAGTTGTGGGCGCTGCGCTTGGTGCAAGGTTCTCCAACTTGGTCCATAATCCAATAGACAGAAGGACCATTGCTAGAGAATATACTTCCAAGATTCTCTCATCAGTAGACTTTGGGAGAGGTGATGTCTGCGCAGCTCGAGGATCAAGGGGGTGCTGCCATATTGAATTTGTAATTGAAGATTCTTCAGTGAAGACGTCGAAAGAAGATAGTACAGGTCGGCGAATATCAACATGTCCTTTGCCGTCGCTGTTCACCGGCGCTGCGCCTTTGCTAAACAAGATATTGGCGTCCGAGAGATTACCGTGGGTGACCCCTCTCGCATGCATATCAAACACCGTATTTGCGAGGTTATACGCAAAGCGGAATTTTGCCTCCAGCGGAGGTTCTGAGTCGCCACGAGCGAGGAGGTCGCTCAGAGTAGGTAGACTGTACTGAGGGTTTTGGCTCACACGGTTGGAAGCCAATGTGTTGAAGGAGGGCGGGAAGAGATAAACTAAACCCAGTCGAGAATTCTCAAGGTCTTCAAAGTAGCCGAGCAGGCGAGGCAGGCCAGTCCAAGAGCCAGGGGCTCTCTGGGGATCCCGCTGAAGGCCAGCAGAGAGCTTTTCGAAGCGGGCCATGGGAGGCATAATGCCCGTAGTTGAATAGATCGGATCAAACTCTGCATATTCAAGGAGAAGAGGGGCCCAGGGTTGTCTAGTAGCACCCTGCGTTGTGAGTTCAGAGTAAGCTGTCTTGCTCATATAAACAACATGTCGACGAGACGCTGATATGGTGCTCAACCCATCTTGTAGAGGTTGCAAATGGGTCAAACTCTTGGGGTCAATCTGCTGAGGAGTCTGCATCCGTGTTGATTCGAATGGTCGAAAATCGCCTTCCGAAGCAGAAATCTTGGACTTCGACTTTGTTACCGGCGAGTTTAAAGTATCAGATGAGCGCATACGAGATAAGTCGCAGAGGGTATCGATGGAGGCAGTGAGATCACGAATTAGATCCTCAAATCGTCCCTTATCCCATTGGACAAGCGGTGCTTTACGATCAGGTGATGGTCGAACCCCCTCAACAACTCGCTTATAACTCAACCATAGAGGCTCAGCTTCGGCGAGAATATCTTTAATGGTGGACATGATGCTGCCAACGACCTCGCTCAGGCCAGCCTTGGAAAGGGACTCGTCGATTTCGGCAGACTGATTAGGATCAGACCATTCCAGCCCCCAGCTGACAAAGCGATCCTTTTGGATGCGCAATTTGCGATATAGCGCCTTGATCTCGGGGTCGTCTTCATGTTGAGCAGGCTCCTTGACGAAATCGCTGGATTTCTTTGTGTCATTGTAAAGACGACTCAGGCGGCGCTGGAAGGGCAGCTGAAAGCCACCCATCGGCAAGATAGACTCCATCTTGCGCTGCGGGAGAAACGGGGAAACACTGATTGCCAACTGCTGCTCCTCCTCCTATTGCGCTGCCTATATATTGGATGTTTGCTGTTGCCTGAAGGGGACCCTGTTATGATAACTCTATCAGGCACTGGGGCCGCACCCGGTTAGACCGGGGACACTCAAAGCGGATCTCAAGCTGGACCTTGCCTGACCTCGATGCAGCAGCTGCAGGGCGGATAGGTGTCTGCGACGTTTGATTCAAGCGCGGCTCATCGCAGCGCTAATCAGCGTCGCAGATATCGAAGGGCGGCAGCGACGAGGTGTCCCTCAACCAGGCGACGGGCCAATCCTATGCAGGCACTTGCGCATATACCCTGAAGAGGGGCAGAAGCGATGCTACTGGGCTAAAAGAAAATGACGAGACCTGATCTGCAAGACACGCGCCAGAACAGCCTCGAAGAATCGGATCAGGCAGAAGAATTGGAGTCGGAGAAACACCGAGACTGCGGCTTGCTGTGAGATGGACAGCACAGCCAGGGACCAGATCGAGCGGCAGGTGAGTGTTTATCCAGCTGGCGTTCGTTATCGAGACGAAACTCGCCGCCTTGCGGTGGCACTGCGGCTCAAAGCACCGTGTGTACAGTCGTCGTGTAATCCTACAACGGCCTAGCTTTTCCCTTGCCCAGCTGCTCGCCCTTTCTCGGCTTCCCAAGGGTTCACTGACGGGCCTAAATCGCATCCCCGCAACGCTTGGTGGGGGACAAACACCTGGAACGGGAGGGCTGGCGAATCGCCATCGTTGAAAAATCCTGCTGCCTGGTGCCTTTGGTGGCGACGGTCGGATCTGATTGGAGGATTTAAATGGCACCGGAGGGCTGATCTTGGAGTCTCAAGGCGTGGTTTGGGAGATTGGAATGATACGAGCGTGCCACATCACGTGGTTGCGATTACTATTCAAGATCACATGACGGAGCTCTGTCTCGTTGCTCTTTCGAAGATGTGATGTACCTGCTACGGTTCTCATTTCAACAGTTTCTCTGCTATGCGCGAGATAGACTACATAAAATACACTATATTCCCATTAATTCTTTACATCTCATATCCAATAATTCACATGTCCTCTCACGCTGCTTTTTCACGTGCTCCATCTAGGCATACTTGATCGTAAATGCTGGAGAC